TTCATTGAATTCACGCGTTCAATGGCGAACCAATACTTTAATTAATAATTTCCCTGCTATTCCTGCATCCAAACACTGTGCACTTTTCCCATTATACAATACAAATGATGTAGATCTTTCACTTTATTGGAACATACCAACTTTATCACGGCAAGGTCATCATTATATAATTGGAATTAATCTTGGAGTTCAACAAAATCCGTTTCTATCACAAAATGTAGCATCAATTCAGAGCAAAGCATTGTTTGAGCAGACGATTCGAGAACGTAATGCATTAATTAATAGTTTATTGAAAAACAAAAATTTCAAAGATGAAAGTCCGTTGAAACTCGTTACACAATGTGCAGACGTATATGAACATGATTTTCGGAATCGAAGGTTAGCATTATAATAATGCTTTTTCTTGAATAACGATTTAATTAGTCATTAAACACTCTAAATATGTATATACCTTTTTAGTTTTTGTGTTGTTCCCATCAAAATATCTGTCAAAAATTGTTCATGGAATAGAAGGATAGGATATACTTTGGAGATGTTATCGTCTGATCGGAATGAAGCCAGTAGGAGGTAATTAATGTCTAACTATTCTATCTAATTAATTACACATCATCACTAGTTTATTAAAATTTCAATCACCCGTATAGCACACTCCACAAATCCGTATACCCAACGGCATTTCAATGGACTGGACCTACATCTAAATATTCCATATTGTCAGCGAACGAAGAACAGACCTATATTTTCAAAGCATGTTTTGTTAGGCCTGGCGTTTATGATGTAAATAGATGGCGGTTAACGGTAAATTTTGATCAGATTATAACTGATAATGAAAGTAAAGATGAAGGTTCACAAGAACATTATGCAACGAATATTCATGAAGGTGGTGTTGGGACGAAAGGTTATGTACAAATGCCCAATACTCTACATCTTTTGACCCTGGTGGATAGTTCAACTGACAAAAAGAACGAAGATAGTTTACAACCGTATATAGAACAATTACAATAATCTATTTTTTTTTGACTTGTAATTTTTCTAGTTCTGCCATAATGTCTTGTCTGGTTGTTGGAGGATGCTAAAGATAAACCAATAATACAAATAAGAATTATTTAATATTTATTTAATAGTTTTAATTTCTTTTAATTACGTGTGTTTTTTCAACCCGAAATCTGATCTAATAAGAAAAAAATTTTTATTTATCCTGCAAAAAATACTAAGCATAAAGCTTTTTAATAATACCTCTTTAACGTGCCTTTCGTAAAAACTAGGATTTCCAACATAAATACATTACCGTTACAGCAACAGGAAAAAAGATATAGACACTAAACTAAAAATTGTTTATGAGTGCGCCAGGGCGACCACCAAAAGTCCGATCGGATCAAATATAGTATAGGTGACCCCTTCGGCAAAATTTCCGAAAACGTAAATTTAGCCACATCGCGTGATCACGTGATCACATGATGTGGCTCATGTGGCTTTCGTTGCAAATTAGCCACATTAGCCACTTCATGTGGTTACGTGACTTGACTATACAATCAAAATTTAGCAAGTCGATTAAATTAAAGAGCCTAGACTAGTGCTCGGCACAATCAAACAAAAATTTGATAGTCAAATACTGAAATACATACTTGTTAATACTTATGTTTAAATGGGATCTAATCTGCGATCATTTGACGTCCGACTTAATTACAAGTATTAACAAGTATTTGACTGTCAAATTTTTGTTTGATTGTGCCGAGCATTAGCCTAGACTTTAAACAACACAGAAAACTATATATTACTATAGCGATAGTATTAATATATTAACAATTAAAAATTACTTGGCTATTTTTTTGTTAGATATTTCAGGATTTATAAAAATTGTAAGTTGTATATATTATATTCTTAATATTGTAATATAGAGAGCTGGCCTTGCTAACTATACTACTTGACTTAACATGAAGAGGGTAAGGATATGTAATAAAACTCAAATAAAACTCAAAGAAAACTCAAATATAACTCAAAGGCAATAAACTCAAAGGATATAAACTCAAAAATAACTTAGGATATAGGATATAAAGTATAGGAAATAGGAAGGAAAACCCGAAAAAATATAATAAAAATAGTGTTATATTAGTGATATATTAGTATTTTTAAATTTTTTTATTAAGTAACTTTGTGTAACTTCTAATTGTAGTACAAATCTGATTCCACCAATAAAATCCTTGATATCAATTTTTTTAGTGTAGTTTTTATCGTTTGTTAATCAGGTTAATAGTTAACAAGTTATTAAGGTTTAAAGATATATAACTATAGAAGATGACGAATAATAATCTGTCACTCCTGTGATGCGGGACCCGTTGGTACTAGGGTTGGGGGCATGGAGGTTGGAGGCATGCCCCTGGGGCATGTCTAGGTGCATGCCCTTTAACCAAAAGGCATGCCCCTGTCATGTGATCTATAGCTAATGTGTGATTGGCTATTTCAGTGATTAACCAATTAGAATATAAATATATCTTATTATAGTACATATATACTTTTATTATCTATATTATTTCATTGACAGTCATTTACTGACAAGTTTATTTTACTGACAGTCTAGTTACTGAAGCTCATTTCACCAACAAGTTTTTTTTTATAACC